GGTAAGGATCATGTGAGCCAGCAGGGCTAGTCTGATTGGTGGGTAAGGATCATGTGAGCCAGCAGGACTCACCATTGGATGGCTCTTCTTGGGGGATGGGGAAGTTAGTCTTTGGAGCCGAGGCAACTCCCAACATTTATGATGGATTTTTCTCCTAATTCTTTAACATGAAACTCTCAAACCTGGGTATGCATTAAAAAAAAAAAAAAAAAAAAAAAAAAAAAACAAAAAAAAACCTGGGAAGATTCAGCTATTACTGATGATTGTGTCCTACCTCAGACTAATTAAGTCAAAATTTTGGATGCTGTGGGTCAACTTCCCAGGGGATTCAAATGTGTGGCCAAGGTTAAGAACCACTGCTAAAATAGTCAGTCTTTTTGGTCACTGTGACTAAAATACGAAAAAATCTTAAAGAAGGAAAAGTTTATTTTGGCTCGTGGTTTCAGAGGTTCAGTCCATGATCAGCCGACTCCATGGCTCTGGGCCCAACGTGAAGCAGAACATCATGGAGAAGAATATGGTGGGAGAACGCGGTTCAGGACACCGCAGGCAGGAATCACAGAGAGGTCCACTCACTAGGGACAAAACGTGAACCCCAAAGGCACCCCCCCCCCCCCCTGATCTAGCTCCTCCAGCCACCCCTGGCACTGCAGGATTAATCCACTGCTTAGGTTGAAGCTCTCAGAAGCTCATCACTTCACCTCTGAACCTCCTTGTCTCCTCTGGCACCTGAGTCCTTGGAGGACACCACACACCCAAACCATAACAACTACTTTATAGAAATTCCATCTCATGCACATACTCAGCTGTCCCTCAGCAGAAAGAAGCAGATAAAAATCAGTCAATTTGTTTTCGTGATGTTGTATTTTAGGGTTTTTATGTCAGTACAAGAGCTTTTTTTTTTTTTTTTTTTTTTTTTTTTTATTTTGTTTAAAATAAATTTACTTCTCTTCTGGGGTTGTGGCTCAGCAGTAGAGCGCTTGCCTAGCACGTGAGAGGCCCTGGGTTCAATCCTCAGCACCACATTAAAATAAAGGTATTGTGTCCAACTACAATTAAAAAATAAATATAAATAAACTTACTTCTAAATGTAATAATCATGCTAAGCAAGAATAAGGTTAAAATTTTAATACACTTCCTTCTAATATTTTTGTAAGCAGTGAATTAACATTCTTGGAAAAATTGTTCATTATTTATTGAATGTCTGCTCCATGCCTCTAGGGTATACAGTGGCACTCATGGAGTTCACATAACACATCTCTCTGGGTCTGTGAGTACTCCATTGAGGGAGTACTAAAGTAATTTTTGAAGTCATTTGCAGGACCAGAAGAACCTCCACTTTCTGTGTATTTTCCTTTCCATCACCCACACCAAAAACTAATTTTCTTTCCATGTCATTAACTAAGAGAAAAATGTGAAATCTTTTTATGAGAATCATGGCATAGGGGAAAATTAATAGAAAATGTCACACTCCAGGGTTGCTTTGTGAATGAAGGAAATTCAGCAGGATTGACAGGCTAAGCACACTCTGCACCCACAATAAGTATGCACATTTCAAAGTCCTGTTGGCCATTACCAAATAGCTGAAATTGCACATGTCAACGTAATACACCTAGGTCTGCCAGGTTTCTGTTCTCGTGACTAAAAGGCTCAGAGTCACTCCAAGTAAACTGGGTTAACTGGGCTGCACGAAATAACCACACAAGAGACACAAATACCTTTTTCTTTGGGGTCACTGTGACGGCTCCTCTGACCTTAAGGGTCTGCAGAAAGAGAGAGAGAGCACGCGCTGACCCCTTTTATTGAGGAGAAGCTATTCAAATGAGGCAAGGGGTCAGGTTTCAGGGGGCTGAGTCTATCTTCATGATGTCCACTGTCAGCAGGTTGACTGACACCTGGGTAGGCCACACCCAAGGGCACAGTAAGAGAAGGGGACACACACAAGGCACTTCCATGGAAGATTCTATCCTAAACAGGGCAAGGGGTTATATTACAAAGGAACAGGTGAGCATAGCTTCACCCATGGGGCTGTAGCAAGACACACCCATGCACGAGACACCTACCCTCGCACCCAAGAAGGGTGGGGAAAGCTCTGCCACATTTCTGTGACTGAGCGCCTCAGCACCCAGCCGGGGAGTGTGACCCAGTCACGTACAAGGTTGGTCTCCCACATAGGTCCATTTTATGTCTAAGATAAGGAATAGACTTGCTTTCCTAGGGAAAGAAACCGAGAGTGCAGATATCCACTCCAGTGTTGTTCAAAAGAGACAAAGGTGGAGTTCATCACACCTAGTCGACAATCTCTCCTTCTTACTCAACTTCTTTAAAAGTACCTTACCTAGTCTTCGGCCTCCCATACACTTTAGAATCCCCTTGCCGAGTTCCATGAAAATGTCTGTTAGCATTTTGGTTGGAGTTGCATTGAATCTATAAATCAACTTGGGGAGAATTGACATTTCTGTTAATGTTTTCTATATTTCCATTTATTGATATCTTCTTCAAAATTCTGCAGAGTTTTAAGTTTTCTCTGTGTATATCTTACAGTTTGTATTAATTTTAGGCATTGATAGATTTTTTTTTTTTTTGCTTTTTTTCCCCCTCAAATTATATTTGCTCATTTATTTATTGTGGTGTGGGTCTTGAACCCAGGGCCTTGCGCATGTGAGGCAAGCATTCTACCAACCGAACTGTATCCTCAGCCCTCAAAGTGTATTTTTTGAAAGGGGTATAATTTACCTGAAATAAAATGCACTCAAGTTAAGTATGCAGGTCAGTGACTTTTGACAAATATGTACACCACTGTCACCACCACCAGAGTCACTTGTGGAACATTGTATGGTCACCCCAAAATTCCCTTGTGCTCCTTTGCCATTAATCCTCCCTACCCCAGACTGCTGGCAATTGGTAAATTATTTATTGTCACTATATAATAATTCTGCCATTAAGAAAAGAAATTTATATAATGTGGCATCATAAAACATTCACTCTTGCAAGCCTGGCCTTTTATGCCCAGCATACGTGTGGGCCGGTCACCTAGGTTATTGTATTTATTAGTAATCTGTGTCTTTTTTAATTGTCCATTAGCTTTATATTTAAAAGTTTGAGAATCACAGTTTGACTTCTTTTTCCTTCCTGGGCCCTTGCCTCTCCCCTGTGGATTCTTCTTCCCAATCCCCGAGCCGGGCGCAGTGGCACACGCTAGCCCCAGTGGATTGGGAGGCTGAGGCAGGAGGATCGCGAGTTCAAAGCCAGCCTCAGCAAGGATGAGGTGCTGAGCGACTGCTTTCTACCTCCTACCCTCAGTGTGCTCTTTTTAAGCCAGTGGCCCTGTCAACTGTGCCTCCTAGCACCCTTCTAAAGGTGGCGATGGTGGCTGCCCTGGATCCTTCCTGGAAGCTTCTTCCAATTAAAAGAGGGAAAACCTACAAATTCCCAGGCCTATAGCCACCTGCTGTGGGGGCAGTTTGGGCCAGCGTGGTCTTGGGGACGGCTGGACTTGCTGTTGGGGCTCTCCAGCTTCCTGCATGGGGCTTCTGGGACAGTCAAGAAGCCACACCCTGGGTGGCTGTGCAGAATGTCCTTCATGGACTTCCCTTGTCTTTCAGGACAATCCCGAGAAGACGGCGGCCTCAGAACGAGGAGACTTCTACATCACAGGGGACCGAGCCCACATGGACAAGGACGGCTACTTTTGGTTCATGGGAAGAAGCGATGATGTGATCAACTCTTCGAGGTCAGTGCGTCTACTCTTTCCTCTGAAATTCCTCGGGGGGAGGGGAGCCATCTGGAAGTCTCCTTTTCTCTTCCAGCTACCGAATTGGACCTGTGGAGGTGGAGAGCGCTCTTGCCGAGCACCCCGCTGTGCTGGAGTCTGCCGTGGTCAGCAGCCCAGACCCCACCCGGGGGGAGGTGAGCAGGCCTGCCCAGACACGGCCTCCTGCTTCTGTCCCACATTCCCCTGTCCTCACCCCGCCCAGGAACACAAAGTTGAAAGGCCACCAACAGATACACACTCTTTTTGATTAAGCATTGGCCTCGTGCCTTCAGAGATACAGAAAATTTCTAGAGGGACACATAGAGAAAATGCCACACTATCGTTTTAAGTGGACATTGAACTGGATCCTAAGGACGCTGACTATGGGACCAGAGATCTTGGTGACAGGGACAGGCTCTGTCATCCATCCTATCCAGTAAATGTTTCTTCCTCCTCACAGAGGAGCAAACAGCAAGTACACCAGACAGGTTACTGTCAGCTGTAATCCAGGAGGGACAGTCAACTTGAGGATGACAGCATATGTATATGTGTAGCAAGAGAAAAATGAGCCAATGTTAATAAGCTTGGTTTTCACTGGATAAATGTGAATTGCTTTTTGTGGGTCCCAGAGAAACAGACAGAATGGGAAGGATGAGCTTAAATGCAGACCCATGTACTTTTCACTGGCTGTAAATCCAAAATAATGCTTCAGTACAAAGCAGTTATCTTCTTTTTATTTTCTTTTTTCTTTTTTGGGTACTAGGGATTGAACTCAGGGGCACTCAACCACTGAGCCCCATCCCCAGCCCTATTTTGTATTTTATTTAGAGACAGGGTCTCACTGAGTTGCTTAGGACCTCGCTAAATTGTTGAGGCTGGCTTTGAACTTGCCATCCTCCTGCCTCAGCCTCCCAAGCCGCTGGGATTAGAGGCGTGTGCCACTGCTCCCTGCCAAAGCAGTTACCTTATGGAAGCTTTGCTTCACCTTGCCTTTTTAGAAGCACCAGGGCCGGAGCATCAATTCTCACAGTGGTCCCTGGACTGTTCACAGCTGCGTCATCTGGGGCTCTTATTTAAAATTCAGCCTTAAGATCTCAAGTCAGAGCTGCTGAACGAGGCCAGCAGGGGATGCCTCCCAGAGTGTCTGCATGTGAGCCGGCCTCCCCTTGCCAGGCAATTCCCCCCTCCATATCATTTGAGTCCACTACTATGGAAGGAGGGAGGTGTGAGTCCTAGAAAACCGTGCCTTGTCCTGCCTGCTGGGAATTAACTGATCTGTGACCAAGGGCTGCCTGCTCCAAGCTCATCCGTGTGCGGTTCTTAGAATGCAGCTTGGCACAGAGCAAGTGTGCATTGTTATCACAGTACAGGAGAGCCCTTCCTCAAAGCCAGCTCTACCAGAACGTGAAATCCCAGGGATCTTCCCACCCTGGAAGCATGGAGGGACAGTGATATTGTTGGCCGGGTTTCACGCGGGCATGGACTAACCGCCAAGTGGACTTGTCAGAAAGCATGTTTGGTTGTGTCTGAGTTTGGGACACAACCAAACTCCTCCTCCTTGGCAGTAGACACCCTGTGGGAGAAACCTGGACAGGAAAAGCCAAGGTGCAGAACGTCCCTGGGGATAGACCTGGACCAGAGGCCGTCCAGCTCCATATTGGCAGACATGCAGCCTCTGAAGGACCCTCCTGCCCTTGAAGGTAGCCATTTCTCTCAATCCTGCCCGAGCAGACTCATGCCTCACTCTCAGGCAGGAAAACCTGGAAGTAAATGGTCTCCAACGTGTTGGCGTCTTAGGAGAAGCAACGTCGGTTCCTCTGGTGTCACTCAGGGATAGGGACTAGTCTAAGAACAAACAGGGCTCTGAAGCCATTCCCCGAGAGCCAATGATCCTGGAAAGGAAGGTGACAGAAAAGTGGGTGTTGTCTATTTCACTGGACGTGCCCACGCCCTGGCAAGTGCGAGTGCTCCTTCAGGAGGCTGAAGCATGGTTCTGGGAGGCTTGACCCCTGCTGTTTCCCCCCTGCAGGTGGTAAAGGCGTTTATAGTTCTTTCTCCCACCTACTCCTCTCACGACCCGGAAGCACTAACCCGGGAACTCCAGGAGCATGTGAAAAGGGTGACCGCCCCCTACAAGTACCCCAGGAAGGCAAGTGTCTGGAATTCTGGGGGAACGAGAAGGGTGCATGCTGGGCCAGGTTCCGTGCCCGGTACTGGGGAGCCGGAAATCCATACACCCCCAGATGCTGGCCTGTTTCTTCAATGGCCCTCCCTGAAGCCCATTTTGTTCTTACCCTAAGATTTGACCTTTAACCCGGATGCAGAGGGTGGTGCTGAAATGCTGGCAGCCCCAGTGCTACAGGGCCCGGCCCTGTCGATGGCCGTCACTTGGGGAAAACCCTGACTCATGGGAGGTTTCCTGTGTGGTGGCAGAAGGTGACGACCCCAGGCAGAAGTCTCCTGGGGGAAATGATGGTTTCTAAGTGTTGTTGTTTTTTTTCTTCTTTTTGTTTTGGGCCCCTAGGTGGCTTTTGTTTCAGAACTGCCGAAGACAGTTTCTGGAAAGATCCAAAGGAGTAAACTGAGGAGCCAAGAATGGGGGAGATGAGGTGCCACCCCAGAAAGGCCCCAGAAGGACCTGGTGGGGTCACTGGTCAGCCCCTGCTTGGAGCATCGTCCTGACAACTTCACAGACATCAAGGACACTCAGCTTCCAAGGGGGCATCTCCAGAACCACTGGATGCTTCTAGAAACAACAGAGAATGTCACTGACCCAGAGCACAGAGCCAGGCCCGGTCTAGCCGTGCTCAGAGGCTCAGCTCCCCCTCTGTCCGGCTGTTCTCGGCATCTTCCTGAAGTGGCACCCCCTTTGTCCACAGAAAAGCCCTCTTCACCAGGGCTGATTTTAGGACTGTCAGCAAAAGAGTTCAATGTAGATAAACTCCCTGTTTTCCTGTCACCCTGTTTTACTTGGCCACTGGCCGAGAAGATACCAGCACTCCAGGTGCTGGACACCCCTTGACTAGTTTTTCACAAACATATCCAGTATAGTAGTTTGTAGAAATATGCAAATAAGGCCTCTGGCCTTGAGCTGGGCTTCCCAGAGATGTCTACATTTTTAAGAGAAGTTACAACTGGGCTCCATGGTAACAGCTGGCAGGGGGAGGAAAGAAAGGGGAGAAGAAGCTCTCCCCTTCTCAGGTGCTGTCCTTGAAGGGTTAACTTGCCCAGAACAGTGAAAGAAACAGCTGCTTTTATGTGAACTTCTGCAGACTGGGAACTTCTGAGCCCCTCCCCTTACACGCTGGGTAGAAAACTCTGAAACTCCCTGAACTCGGGGTTCAGGAGATTGATTGATTACAGCAAAAGCTGTGCCCCCTGAACCTGGCTGCAGCCAAATAAAACCGTTTCCTGCTGTCTTCGGTGCCTTGCCTCGTCTGTCCCTACAACACTCCCACGGGTCCCTACAAAATGCAGTCAGCATGGCCTAGGGGTGCTTGGGGTCTCCTTCCCTGCCAGTGGGAGAGTAAAGGATTAACCCTTTAGATGAAGCCATTTGGTCCTATATCCAGACCATAAAATTGACCATTCCCTTTAGCTTAGAAATTCCATCTTTGGGAATTAATATAAAAAGAAAGGATTCAAAATGTAGAAAATGTTGGGTGCACCAAGATGTTTGCCGTGGCATTGTTTAAAACTGAAAAAAAGAAATCAGTGTCAAAGCCATAGGGGAATGATTACATCACAGTCACTGGATAGCTTATTCTGTGGCCACTGAAATACTGAAGGAAATGTACCATGTTTGGGGAAAAGCATAAGCTATGTTAAGTTTGCAACATTGGAATGAAAACCATTGCAGACTGGAGAATCACAGCTCTGAAAAACAAATGGAAGGAAATACATTCACATATCAGTGACGATTTTCCTGCGAATTGAGGAGAAAGGGAAAATAACATTTTTTTTCTCTTTTCTTGATACATTCCTGTATTTTCCAAGATATCTTATTAAGTAGATATAACTATTTTAATGAAAAAGTTATTTTAAAGAAACCATCTTTTCGAACCACTTCCTGCCCCATGTCTAGTTCTTCCTTTGCACACCAACACTGTGTCCTGGAGTTCCAGTGTCCTACATCTGACCTTGGAAGAAGGCAGAGACCTGAAGCCAATGTCCGGGAAGGTGGCTCTGGAAGGCAGAGAGGAGCCACATGCAGGAGCAGCTGATGGAACCGGGTGTCCCCCACCTGACTCCCGCACCTACAGCCACTCTCTGGTACATATTTATTGAGCACCTACTTAGTGCTGGGATCCGGGAACATGATCATAAGGAAAAGCCATTGCAGTCCCTACCTGTGGGAGTTTTCTACGGCTGCCATCACCAGGTGCCGACTACAGGGAAGCCCAGACAGCACAGGTGCCTTTCCTCACAGTTCTAGAAACTACAAGTCCAAGATCAAGGGGTCAGCAGTTGGTTTCATTCTGAGACCTCTTTTCTTGGACTGCAGATGGCCGTCTTCTCCCCGGGTCTTCATGTGATCTTTTCTCTGTGCTTTCAGTCCTATGTCCCAGTCTCCTCTTCTTCTAAGGACACCTGTCATGTCCTATTGGACGAGGGGCTCATGATCTCACTTTATCACCTCTGTAAAGGCCCTGTCTTCAAACACAGTCACATTCTGAGGTCCTGGGCGCTGGGGCTTCAACTTGCCGATAGAGGAGGACACGGTTCAACCCCAGCGCTGCTCTTGCAGAGCGTAGTCTAGTGGGATGCTGGTGTTATTTATTGCAGAATAATGGAGATCAATGCACACTGTGTTAAATGCCACGTCGGAAACAGACTGTGGACTCAGAAGGGTCTTGGGGTCTTGAGAGAGACTTCCCTAAGAAGTTTCTGGTAACCTGGGATTGAAGGAAAAATGCAAATAATGTCAGTAAAGAGATAGGCAGTTAGCTCTATGGACAGAGGACGCAGGCTGGGGGAAAGGCCTTGGGGTGGGAAGGAGAGACTCGTGTTTCCCAGAACAGTTCACGCACACTCAGGAAGAAACAGTCACATCCACGCACCATCCTGAGGGTTTCAGCCTCAGCTATCTCCTGGGTAGGCGCTGATTGCATCCCATTCCATAGATGGGTCAGAGAGGCCCAGCAACGTGCTGAAGGTCACACAGCCAGCATCTCGCGGGGCTGGAAATCAAGCCGGGAGGCCCAGCTTTGGCATTCACACACTTCACCTCTTACGAATAATTCAGGGTGGCTCAATTGAAGAAACTGGTTTATCCATAAGCTGAAATTCTAAATATTTCTTTAAAGGATAAATGTATTGAAGCAATTTATTTGGTTGGTTGGTCGGTTGGTTTTGTGTCATTTGTCTTTTGGGCCTTCCGGAGCCAGGCAAATTCTCTTGGTTTTAAAGGTAGAACCTTGAGGGTTTGGGTGCTTTGCCCAAGGCCAACAGTAGGGGGAGCCAGAGGCAAGGAAAACCTGCAAGCTCAGCCACTGACAGCTTCAGGGCTCCTGGCCAGCGGGGTTAGAGTCAAGCAGAGGAGGCTGCTAGGATTCCTGAGCCCCCAGATTGTTAGGGGGCTAAGCCGTCTCTGCTACATGTCTTTGTCCCCGGGAAGCCGAGAGGCTTGGATGGAAATGGCGGCTGGGGGACGTGGCACCTGCTGCACAGGGTCACTCTCTGCTGGGTAGTGGACTCTCTTGCCCTCCCCCTGGGCTAAGGCACTGGGCTCCTCTCCGGCTGGAATGGGCAATCCTCGGCTGGTTCCCACTTCAGGAGGTACAGGACAGGAGTGGATGTCTGTCCCCACTGGCACCCCAGGCAACCTTCCCACAGAGGGACCTCAGCCCAGCTCACCTCCGAAGGAAAAGGCCAAACTCCCGGCCACAGATGTAACTCGGGGAGCCAGGCTCCACCACCATCCAGCCCCGACCTCCCCACCAGCCCCAGGAGTCACTGGTGACAAATACCAGCAGCTCTGGCCACTGCTGCCTCCGGGGATTCATCGAGAACTTACTCTCCCCAGGCACGGGGCCGCGTGTTCCTCTGGAATCCTTTGCCTCGGCTCCTTGCAACTAGAGCTGATCCTCTGTGTCCCTTGGTGAGTGTAGCTGTGTTCTCACCCCTGGGCTAGGTCAACACACGTTCATTCTTCATTTCTTTATTTTATCGTTCTTGGCATTGAACCCAGGGCCCCCTACCACTGAGCTATATCACCAGCCCTTTTTATTTTTTATTTTGAGACAAGTTCTCACTAAGTTGCTGAGGCTGGACTTGGACTTCTGATCCTCCTGCTTCAGCCTCCAGAGTAGCTGGGGTTCAGGCACGTGCCACCGGACCCAGCTCAACTTGTTTTTAAAAGAAAATAGCTGTACTCTACACAGTATTCATGAACATCAGGCATGCTGTGACTTTTTTCTCCCTAATGTACATCAAACCACAGGTATGAAAACTGCTGATCTAAAATCACCTTGCAAAACCCAGACACCCATGCACACACACGTACACACAATCCCACCCCCCCCACGCATCCACACCCAATAGACACACACAGACACTTACAAACTCAGGTGTGCAGTCACGCACATGTGTACACACACTCATACCCAGCAGTTACATACATATGCAACCACACACTTACACGCATACACACAGGCTGTCGTACACAGAGCTACACACAGTCTCACCCATTGTCACATCACATTGTTTTATTTCCTTCAATTACTTATTCATTCACTCAGTTATTTACTGAGTACTAAACTCCGCACCAGTACTTACTTTGTCCTCAGTCCTTAACTAAGTCAATGAGCAAGAAAGGCAAAGATCTCTGACCTCATGAAGCTTAGATTCTAATGGAAGGAGACAGATTTAAAAAAAAATTAAAAAGTAAATTCTATAACATGTGAAAAGAAAATGAGCAGTAGGGAGCCTAGCACCTGGTGATGGGGGGCAGAGGGAGAACCAGTTTGGAGGTGGGTATGACTTTAAGTAGGTGTCCAAGCTTCATTGAGAAGGAGATAAAAATCTCTGGCAAAGGTCTGAAGGAGCAGGAGTTATCTGGGTGACACCTGGGCGAAAACAGTCTGAGGAGAAGGAACAGTGCATGCAAAAGCCCTGAGGCAGGTTGGGCCTGCAGAGAGCAGGAAGGTACCTACCTGGTGTTGCTGAGGTGCCAAGAGTCAGGGGTGGAGGCAGAGAGGAGAGTGAGTGTGACCCCACCTTGCACAGAGAGGTCAGAATGTTTATTTTACGTGAAACTGAAGTTCCCAAGTGGGTTCTAAACAGAAATGTGACCTGAACTGACCTCTGAAGCTTACCAGCATCTAACAGGAACTAAGTCATTTCTCCTGTTATTATTCGTATTACTTCCAAACCAGGAGGGCTCTGTCTCGGTCACTTCTCCTTAAAGGAGAACCACTCTAGAGGGACACAATTTTGATGTTGCTGTTAGGTACCCAACATAAATTGAATAAGGGACAGGGACGGATATTGCCAGGAAGAAGAGCATCCCATGGCTTGTCTTCTAGAATCTGCTTCTGGAAGCTCCAAACCAAATGAGTCTGTGGGTCCCTTTTGTCCCCGATTTCTGAGAGGACAAATGACCTTTTCCTGAGCTTCCTCTCATTGGTGTGCCGCTGACTGCTGTTCCCTGGACCACATCCCTCACTTCCCAAATCTGTTGCATCCGTGGTCACCGACCCCGGACCGCGGTCCATACAGGTGTGTGACATCCCCTCTGTCTCCCCCATTCCAGACCACATCTGCTGCAATTTTTGGAACGTTCACAGTACACAGTGCATTTCGTTTCTTTTTAAATCTTTACTCATCCCCTTTTGGAATAAGTCAATCAGTAACTGAGATTTAAATAATTGACTTTTAAAAAGGAAACACTTTAACGGGGTTCAAAGTTGAACTAGCTCC